GACAACTTTCTCTGTCTGCCTTTCTTCCAGTTTTTCTCTGCCTCCAGTTTTAGGCTGCCTTCCATCTCCACCTTTTTGCTCCTCCCAAGTGTGACACTGCAGTCAGAAAAATTCATCCTCAAACAGAAACCACATCATCACTGCACATCAAATAGTCCTGAAAAAGACCTGGCTTGCAGATAGCATCTGAGATTTACATACAGCAACTGGGCACAGTCATGAACCATTTTGAAATCTGGCTCCTAGAAGTTAAATTGCAGACAGAAATTACCTAAGCTTTCACAGCTTTCTCCCATCACAGCCAGATGGTGCCTGACCCCTGTAATAATTTTGCCATATTCCACCCATATGCAAGCCTCACTGCTTCCATCAAGCTGTTAGTACCAATCAACATTTTTCAGAATTGAGATTTTAATAAAGCATTGATAGAAAAATGTGAAGATTTCATAGATTCTCTCATGAATATCCATTCTACAGGGACCACCTTAGGCTCTTCTAAAGCATCTCCATCTGTACCATTTAAGTCCTGCTCCAAGTAAATCAAATCTGAACGGTTTGCTCCGTAACCCCAGGAAATATTCTGATCCTCTCCCTTCCCTAGCAACTGGATATTGAAATACTATTTTCCCCTCTTTGCCCACACAGCTAAATTCCTACCCTGCCACTTTCCATCTCCATCCCTGATTACTAAAATCTCCTCCCTGAAGCCCTTGATTACATGCAAAACACAGCTGTTTCTTGTTACCTTTCTTGTCCTAACTCTTTTTGGCCACACAAGTGCCATTCAACCCATTAATGGATCCTTTTCCCTTTCCACCTTCAGTCAGTGCTTCTCCCTTTTTAACAATCACTGTTAAAGCACTGTCACACCTTCCCTGACACCCATTATAATTATTTCTGCTCAATTGTCTCAAGACGTGTTCCTGTATCTTCTCCTATCCTATCTCTATATCTGGTTTCATCCATGATAGGAAATACATCAGCTTTCCCCCAGATTTCTTCTACAATGATTTAATCTTAATAATGAAGGTCCAAAAAGCCTTAGATTCTATGCAACTACAATGCAATGTCCATATTCCATGCCTGTGCACTACCCTGCTTGCATATCCTGTATGACTATTCTTCAGTTTTGTTGCCTCATTTCAGTGTCAGCTATACTGGAACACTGCCAGGATGGCTATGGAGAAATGCAAAACAAACATGGTTCACCACACAAAGGGAAATCTTCAATTCTGATAAAAACAGAGGAAAAATCCCAACCTGAACTACACATTAAATACTTGTATTTATGATTTAGGTATATTACTGCTAGCAACTTAGTAGAACATTTTCAATCAAAACCTGTAGCCCCAATGGAAAGAAGAGACATGAGGATCTATCCTGTAGTGAAAGGGGGTACCATTAGGTCAGAAATTGTCTGACCTAAAGGAAACATTATCTAGATAATTAGATGTTTAGATTTTTTTAATTTTAGGAAATATTATATAGATACTGCAGCAGAGGATCCCTGAGACTCTTAGTTCCTTGCCAGGAACCAAGCAATCCCTTCCTGCTGCAAAGGGGCAGAGATGGTCACTAGGCTCTCTGCCCCATCACTTCAGCACCTGCACGTCTTCTCAGAGGAAATGGGAAGGCAATGTGCCACTCAAGGAGCCCTCTTAGCCCCAACACGAGCAAATTTGTTGGCATACTCTCAGACAGATGCAGTCTAGATGAAATACAAGAGCTTACAGGGGAAAGGCTTAAAGTTTCACCTCAAAGTCTGCATAAATCCCTTTACCTTCCTAGAAAAGTGACAAATCCCTAGAGGCAGTCTTGAATGAATGCAGAGACCATTCAGCTTTAACACCTTCAAGAGACCAGTACAGAGCCTGGCAGGATGCTCTCCACCATTACAAACAGTGCAATTCACTCAGGGGTGTGCTGTGTCTCTGGTAACAGGCAATTACACAGCTAGGACTTGACTATGAAAGAAGAGCTTTGCTCTACTAGAAAGCATAAACTGAAAGGAACAATATTTGTTATTAGTCTGCCCTACCCCTTCATCTAACTTTCTTAGTTTAGAATATCTTTGTAAAATATCCAAGATACTCTACTACTGGCTAATGAGAGACTGAGAATTCTTTTTGGCCACAGGGAAAAAAAAATAAGTTTCACACATAAGCTATAGGGATTGATTTATGAAATATGCTGACAAGCTACACAGAAAGCCAAGTAAAGTTCCCCATAGCCAGCTCTGGAACCAGACATTATAAGCACACAAGGACTGCAGTAACCCAGTTCTGCCTCCTCCAGAATCAAAGCTGGCTGAAAGCATTACTGGACCACTATTATAAGTGGGTTGCTTTTAAGCAGACTATAGCTCTAAAGCAGCCATCAAGACATCTGCCCATACACATCTCCTGTCATTGCCTAGTCAAGTGAAGATTACAAAGCACATTCTGATTATCTGTTTTCTACCTCTCATTCTTAAGTGGTTGCTTGGGTTTTTCTTCTCACAGAACATTATGAGCCTGGGATGGCTTTGTTGGCGGCTCTTAGCACACTGTGCAAGCTAACAGAATACAAATGATTATATAAATAATAAAGCTGCTGAAGATTTTCTTGTCACTGCTTTCTTTGCTCCATTGGCTTGACTTAGAGCACACATAAAAATGGCCTCTGCTAAGCGTTATGTTCATAGCATCCATAAATAAAATTAAGATCCTGATTTAAAGAGACACAAAGAAGCTGTATCTCCTCCTGATTTCAATCAAACTGGGATGCTCAGTGCCTAGGAAAGTCAGGCCCAAGGCTCTATAGACATAACCAGAAGAATTTGATCCCTATATGGCAGCTCGTATTCAAGCAGCTAAGTTTCATTTTCTATATAAGATGCTCACATGCTCTTCTCTAGCATACATACATCCCTTTAATCCAGAGATCAGGCAGGAGAACAGCTTCAGACCCTCACAACTCTTCCTCACATCAGAGGCTGGCACATAACATACAAACCCTGACACCACGAGTCGAGCATCAGTAGGATGATGACCTGTCAAGGCAATTACAGCCACAGAACAACATCTATCTCAGCACTGCTGTTTCCACGACTCCTATATAAGCTTTTATAACATTTTGTGCAGACATCAATATCTGTATGCCTGTTAATCACAGTGATAATCACAAATAGCATTAGAAGAGAGAAAAAAGAAGACAAAAGATGACTGCAAGCCAGCATCAAAACTAAACTGTACCAAGTTTAGGATTTGGACAGAACTCATCTTTTAACTGTTTTGGTTGTTTTGTTTTGGGTTTTTTTTTTTTTCCCAAGGATCACTTTTCTGGTTCCTGCTGCTAACCAGGCAGTCCAATCTCTATTACCCATGTGTGAATTTTCTCAATGCTATGGATTAACTATGTGACAAGTGCAGCCAGACAAAGTAAGACAACACAGTTTTCAGAACCAGCTAGCTCTTCCTGAACAATGCAGCCACTCATGTGCACAGACAGTCCAGTGTAAGGACTTAAAGACCACAGCTGCCTGTATCAAATACTGTTAAGGCCACAGAATGACTTTGCCATGAGATGAGCACAGAATGGAGTGACAGGATAGTGCTAACTCCAGGCAGAGGTGAGATCTGGTCAGCACATCCTGGGAAATGCATCCAGACAAAACTTCCCATGGTGGCAAACTTTGTAAAGAAGCAATTTCTACACATACCACTGGTCAAAGATCACCTCGGGTTAAGGGACAAGTGGCATCTATGACCACTGAGGGACCTCCCCACCTCCCAGTCCCTTCCCCAAATATGCCTCCATGGATACTGGGAACTAGGACTGTAAATTAAGCCACCATGGCTGGGAACTTGAGATAAGATAGAGATGATTCTACTGTCCAAGTGTTATCTCAAGCCTAAGGGGAGGTAAACAAAGCTGTCAGAGGAGAATGTATAAGTCACAATGGTCATAAAGAATGCAGAAATTATGGGCCACAAGGAAAGCAACTGTGCTGAATCAGCCTGGACTGGGTAAAAGGTAATTCTGTCAGGGGGACACTGACTCACAACCCACTCAAGAAACGCACCAACTAAAAACCAGAAAGACTGAGCATGGGACTAATTAACATTAGAAGTGAGGAAATCATTTAACCAACAGAATAAAAGATGTGTGTAACCAATCTTTGTTTGCAAAGATACATAAATAGTGAAAAGTTTTGAGTGAACTCAGGCCACCCACCACTGAGAAGCCCAAGGTGAAGAAGGACCAGCAGCACACCACTGGATGCATGGGTTGTCTGCTTAATTTGTCTCTCTCTTTTCTACTTCTTTTTATCTCTCTACCTCACATTCTACTGATCAATAAAATCCATACTATTGACTTCAGCATATGGTTTTGTTTGCACTTTAATTCAGGGAGAGGCATCTCTCAATCATATCATATCATAGCACACAGTACACTTCATGTCCACGTGCCACATGATTGCCATACCTCCCTTACACCCTCATGCTGCATTCTCCTTGCAAAATTTGCACTTTTTATGTTACCTTCAAGTTTAATTTTTCTGTTTTATTTTATTTCTGTATCTTCCTGGAAAATTCCATTCTAACTGTACTCTCAGGTTAAATCCAGGACTTTAAAAAATATTCTAAATAAGCTTCTGATTACGATTTTTTCATCTCAAAATGCTCCTTATCAATCAAAGGCCATTTGTCTTTTTATAATGGCTACTGCCTAAGTGCCTAGAAGATAGTAATGCTTTCTTCTGAAGGGCTAACAGCTTAGAGAAGAGATCTTTCCTACTACCATGAGCATTTTTTCTCTAATCCAAGCACTAGAAATATGATTCTGCCCTTAGGTTCATGAGTTTTCCAGCCTTCTGATCAGCTGAATGACAAGTTTATCTTTACAGAGCCATTGCAGTTATCAGGATAAAATTAGGAATTGATTGTGTAAGGCAGAAAAGAGTGATGACTTTAAAAAAATCAAAAGCAGATAGACAAGAATTAATTTGAAATAATTACCTCTTTGAGGCAGCCCATGAAGTTATTGCTTACTGGAGATCCAGGTAAATCAGCAGTACTGGGGCTCCCTCCCACATAAAAGAAGTCATCTGAGCCCAGCATGGTGTAGTCCTCCTGTGTGTAGCCCGTGGTGGTAAGGATGCCATCCACAGAGATTGTCACCTGTTTGAGGAACACAATGGACAAAGAAAATCCCAGCAATGACCTTACAATCCCGAACAGAACAACTTACCTCCCCTATAATTTTATGCCAGTTTTATTAAGGATTTTGTTGAGATTTGGTATGCTTTTTTTTTTTTTTTTTAGTTAAGCTGAGCTCTATTTTCTGGTCTGAATTTTCCACAGAGAAATGCTTCAGCATCTGCTTTTCCCCTTTCTGGTGCATCACCACTCTCAGGCTTATCTAGCAGCCTATCCATCCAGATGCTTTCCATGTATTCAGGCCAGAAAATATAACTGTCCTCAAAAGACATTTCTCATATTAGGTGATTTTATGATTAATTAGAATTTATTTTAATGATTACAGTTAGTTATGGTTGTTAGTAAAAAAAAAAAAAAAACACTAATGAAGACGAGGTTGGTATTTTTTATTTTTTAAGTTTCTTTTGCTCACAGCACACTGACGATCATGCATTCAGGGATAGGGGGAGAGGGAACTCACTTTCAATACATTATGGATGTGCATGCCATGTACCTGGAGAGACACACACCCACCACCCACCACAAAAAAACAGAAATAGAAAAAAAAGAAAAGAAGGGAAAAAAAAGGAAAAAAAAGAAAGAAATTTACAAACTAACCCATAACCAAAATATAAGCAGAAAATTAATCAAAATAAAATAAATCAAAATAAATCGATTGCACACCAATAAACATGATAGAAGAGGATATGAGAAAGAGATAAAAAGCGTGCACACACTGCACTTTGACATGTCATGCCAAAATATCTGAGGTCCAGAAAGATGACAGGAAAAAAGCAAAATAGAGAGAGGAGAATAAAAAGGGAGAGAAAACCATTTCGCACACGCATGCAATCAAAAATAAAAATACCAAACAAATGCCATAATAACAAAAAAACTCAAAATGAAACATAAATGTCCCCAAAATCTCTAACCACAAACACATGGAAGGTGAAGGGTGACAGAAGGAAAGGGTGGGAGAGGAGAAAGTGAATTGTATGTGTTTTGCTTAGATGTTGTTAGTGGTTGCAAGGGAAGATGGAGGAAAATAGATTGAGGCCAGGAGGAGACGGGCGAGTCACCAGACGTGGACATGCCATGCAGAGTGTGTACTGAAACAAACAACCGGCTGAGCTCCTGTTGGCCACGCAGGTAGAGGTCAGAGAGAGAGAGAAAGTGAGAGAGAGAGAGCAAGAGGGAGAAGGAGAAGAGAAAGCAGAGGGAGGGAAGTGGGGGAAAATCAGGAGAAAGAGGACAACTCTGGCCAGTTTGCCTGTAATAGCCATTGTCACAACAAAAGGGTGAGAGAAAAAGAGAGCCTTCACAACCACGGACTAGAGGCCCTGCCATGGTTCTGATCTAGAAACCTTCAGAGTCAAAAAAAAACCAACAAACTAAAAGCCAAGAAAAAAAGCCAAATGAAAACAAAAGCAAAAGAAAGAAATCTAAACTCAAAAACAAGGGACAAAAAACCCCAACAATTTATCACCAGAAAGGAAAAGAAGAACTAAAGACAGAGGTGAAGAAAACAATGAAAGAAATGTCCAAACCCCATTTCCAGAAGAGCTGTGTTAGTTGGTTTTGATGCTCATTTTTCTATTCAAAAAGAAGAAAAAAAAAAAAAAAGAAAGAAAGAAAGTGGGAAAACAACATGTTTTCAATGAAATTGGAATAAAATTAAAGGAAGCAGTAAGTATAAAGGAGGGAGGATAAAGAGCGGGTAAGGGGAGGAAAAGGCAGGTAACACACGGCAAACCCAAAAAAAGAGACAATAAGAATGATATCTACCAGACAATGTAGTTTGTTTACCATAGCGTGTCCAATGCCTGAGTGCTTTGCGGAAAAGGGGGAAGAAAGGAAATTAAAAAATCGTGAACAGAACGATTGTTAATTAAAATAACTAAAAGCAAAGATGAGTCGTTAGGGTGTTAGTACATTAGTTGGTTAGTAAAAATGACACATTGCATGAATGATCTAGTGTTAGTTTTTCAAAAAAAGGTGTGGGGCACCTGAGACACACAAAGTGAGAAAGAGGACAATATGACCAGGACTCTATGGGGAACCATGCCATCTAGACTGTAAAGAAACAGGGGGCTGCCTACTCTTCCCACCCTGGAATTAGTCATTAACTTCAACCCTCATACAAATTATCCAGACCTGAAGCAAAGTTAAAACAGTGCAATACTTACTCTTCAAATGCTCATCAGTGTGCTTCCCTCAAACAAGAACCTTACTCTCAGAGATATACACATAGAGTACACAGTTTGCCCCTTCAGCACACATCCAATCGTGACTCCCTTCATCCACCCACCACCACACCAGCTCCTCTTCCAAGCTTCACTATCCTCAACTGTTGCAGAATATCACAACAAGGCCAGTATTTCCTGTGGCTGGAGGATACAGATGAAGATGAGTCCAAGACTCCGTGTCTTCCTTCCAAGTTTCCCAGTCTGCAGGTTTCATTACAGCACCTGAGTTTGTGACTTTCAGGAGAAGAACGTTACAATGCCTGTGCTTGGCTGTTTGCCTGTAGCTCACTTCTGTCATCCAAGATATAGGAATTGAACCTCTCCTACTGCAGGGAGAAATGTCTCAAGAAATTGTGTAGAAAGAATTGTGTCACTTGTGTCCAGGTTGAAGACAAAAGACTGGCAAGATTTAGCATCCCTCCTGCTTCACTGCATCTCTATTTCACAGGAGCTAGGAGAATTTACCAGTCAGTTTGGTTTAGTAGAACTTTTTTAACCTGTTCCAAGGCAAGTGCCAACTGCTAGAACCTACACTTTGCTCCTTGTTTGTGTTTTTAAAGGTCTTCATAGTAGATTTTGCATTGTGGCTAGCTTCAGTGTGAATAGGGAAAGGCAGCCTGTGGAGGCTCCAAGTCCCTGTTCCAGTGTGATTTAAGTTGGCAAGAATTATCCTAAATTACACAAGCAAGATCTACTCTGCCTCATGTAAGAACCATCTGCTTGCAGGCTGCATAGCTGCGCTTTGACTAGGGAAATAGGTTTTTGAAGGCATTGTGGCATTAAGCATGAAGTCCCAAGGTTATTTGCCAACGGGAATGAAATAATACTAATACTCTGTACTTGGAAATAATGAGCACAAACTCCTGAATTCTTCACCAAGGAAGTCTTACTCATAGCAAATTGTCGTGTTTGTAAATTTATTCTTAAAACAAGGGAGTTGAAGTGTGGGACAGGGAGAAGAGCATGCTAGAAACAAGACAGAGTGTCAGCAGCAGACATGAAGACAGACACAGGAAGTCTGACCTTCAGTCTCCTCTGCTCCTCCTCCCACCAGACCACACTGCCCCAAACATGCTCTGAAAGCCCAGTAAAATTCAGCTATATCCTATTGCAAAGTGAAGGTTTCTCGCAAGGCAGAAAGAAGGCTTAGTTTAAACTGAAATAATAAGATAAATAAACAAGGAGATTTGCTTTGACATTAACAATCACTACTCAAGGGAATCTGTGGATTCACTTGGTTTGCCTCTAAGGAGATTAACTGCTGTGATAGTCATTTGATCTAAAAAAGAGCAGCCCTTAGTACTCTCCCAGCTTAGCTACAAAACATTTAACAATTCCAAAAAGTACTGGGCAAAAGTCCAACTATTTAAAGTTCCACTCTAATTCTAGAAACAGACAAAAAATTATGCAAATCCTTCTCCACTTTCTCTTAGCCCCCAAAAAAGCAGAGGAAGAGATTAGATGGCATCCTGAAGCTGCTGATAGTCCATTTAGCTGGAGTTGCTTAGATTTAGATATTATTCTGGGAATTTCTAAATTATTGCTTCTAAAGTTCATTTTAAAGCAAAATACATCTACCTCCAGTACAATATTTTTAACCAATTACAAGGAGGCTACTTATTTTCTTATAAGGCTTCAATATTCAGAGGCAACATATTTTGTTGGGGTTTCGTGTTTGGTTTTGGAATGGTTTTTTTTAAGGAAACAAGAGCACAGCTGTAAACAACTTTCTAGTGAGCTATACTGTACTGCAGCATTACAGGTGAATTTATGTCAGGAAAGAAATAGAATCGATAATGTTTTACATACAAAATTATTTAGGTTATACAAAATCATATTGGATGACAACTTTTAGGACTATCATGGCTGTTCTGCCTCAAGGCCTCATCAATTCAAATATCTGGGCAGCTTTAGGTTCTGGGTCAATGTCTTAAATTTGAGACAGATCAAAAGTTAAAATGCAAGTATCCAGGGAAAAGATGACTAAAAAAAAGGTCTATCCTTATTGATATGTATTGGTTGAACTGTATTCTGTCATGTTTAACTATAGAATTGGACCCCAAATCACCTCTGCTAATTAAATGCAATTTCATTTGAAGACAGGCCTTTATTTGCAAAGAGCCCACCCATCTCATTAAAACAAGCTCTCTCTTGCCCAGTCAAGTTGGACCCTTTGAGAATTCAGAATCACTTAGAAAAATTCACATAGATCAGGAGGCTTAAAAATGTATGGTGCTGCTTAGCTGGCAGGGAACCTGCTTTCTAATAATCGCCAAAGTACTGCCCTGGTCTCATCAAATACAAAAAGGCATATCAGATTTCCATTTTCTTGGTTCACATCCGTGGACCAATTAAAAAATCTAAAGCTAAAATATTAAGAAAAGAATGTGACAGCTTCCCATCCACAGTTTTGTTTGTGACTCTTCACCTTCTGCTTCTTCAAGATCCAAGCCAATCCTGCCATGAAGCAAGGATTAATTTTGTTTCTGGCATATTTCAGTGGGCACTGAAATTGATTTCAAATGAAAAATAAAAAGCATGATTAGGTAAAATGGCCAATGAATTCTACTGAGATATTCAAGGACCAGCTCTTCTGAAGCTACCTAAAAATAAAAATAACCAAAACACATCAAACAAAGCCATATATTCTGACCTTTTGAGACTGACAAACCTAGACCAGTTGGTACATCTCCCTCTACTGTATTGATGGGAAAGGTTAAAAAAACCAGGATCATTAAGACCCATCCACTGCATAAGAAATTAAATTTTCATCTGCTTATAAACTATTGGAAACAGATTGATTATTTTCCATAGGTAAGAATTCTGTAGTCTCATGAAAGTCTCATGACAGATTGTTTTTTCAGACCCAGACATCCTAAGCATGTAGAAATACAGGGTTTTGCATGGGGAATACAAATAAAAATCTTCAGCCCCAAATCCAAATATTGAAAAGAAAGACATGAACTGCTAATAACAGAAAAATTATCCACTGACCTCTTTTAGTAGACTTTTTCTGATTCCTGGCACTGATTATCCTATACTCACAGACACATTTGCTCTTAGTGTAAAATGTTACTACAAATTACAGTGTATAAATTTATATAAAGCTATTAAAAGTTGTGCTAATATTGACATTAATGAGAAAATAAACGGGTCACATTGTATTCACAAATTGATTTTCAATTTAATTTTAAAACTTAGTCTACAAGCTATTTTTTCTTCTCTACCAATCAGCAGGACATCAAATAGCTCCTATTCACCATGTAAACCTCATTTATGATGCAGTGGATGGGCCTTAGTGACTTGATATATTTACCAGCTTTCAGAACAAAGTTATTTTATTTTACCTTATCGGTTTATGTCTGAATTTATATTTCATGAGAAAGGCGTCAGAATTTTAAGGCCAGCCTGCTACCAAATACATCACCTGATGTAGTTGTCTGCTAGGAATAGCAGCAGGTAGATGTGCAAAATTACAGTGGTAAAATCAGAAAAACTGTTCCAAAGTGGAATTGTAGGGTGCTGGATTGATCTGAATTTGCTTGGGATTTTTGACCAATCCACTTTTCCAGTCCTCACAGCAAACAGAAGAGTCTCAAGGCAGAGACAAGAAATAAAGTAGAATCTCATTATAGAAAGAAGGGGAAAAAAATCAAAAAGAAGAAAAAAAGAACGGAGAATCAAGAGGACTCAGAGAGACTCCAGCCAATTAATTCCAAAGCTATAAAGTTAAAATAATTACACACATACCCACCAGCCTGCACACCTGCACACTCATATGCACACACAAAAGAAAAGGAAAAGAAAAACAAAATACTTTCAGAATTAGAATTGTGACATCATGGCAATGGTTAAACCAATTAACAAAACTGAAAGAAAAAGGAGAGAGGTGTAGAGCGTTGGCTGTTGGCAATAGGTTCTATTCCCACAGTAATTAATTGCAACAAGAATATTACTGATAAGATTGAATCATAATTAAGGAAATAATAAAATTTAAAAGGGAGAACAGAAAAAGAAAAAAGGAAAAGGGAGATGAAAGTAATGTCACAAGTTTTTATTATTAAATCAAACAGGGAAAAAATAGAAAATTAATAAAGCGGAAATGAAGATATTGCAGGAGGGATAAATTCCCATCAACTAATGTTTTTTCACCGTCCTTTAGGCATCAAGATCCAGAATAGGTGGAGAAACTCTAGCAATTGCACTGAGCTTCCCCATTTCTCTACTGCTCTCTGCTATCTGCCTGTCCCAACAAAAGAAAAGTAAATTCTCCCCAGCGCTTTCTCCCCTTCACCATTACCTGCCGCAGGTTGCGTGTCACCTTAACGTCGTGCCACGCGTTGTCATTGAACTTGCCATTGACCGGCTCCACAATGGCCTCAAAGGCCCCGGACCCCAGGTTAATGACCAAGGAGACCGCACCATCTTTCAGGGCCAGGTTGACGTAGTCAGCTGACTTGCCAGTGTGCAGAATGAGCCCGTTGCGTTGCCACGTCTTGAAGGACAGGGTGATCTCATCACTGCTGCTCTGGATGGGGTTCTGCGACAGGTCGTAGCAAAGGTATTCAGAGCCGCGGAAAGTGGCCATGTTCTCATCTCGCGCTGGAAAGGGAGGGAAACAAAAGAACTGTTCAGCAGTCTGCCGAGCAGAGGTTTAAGGTTGTCATGAAATTTAAGCATCCCACGGCACTGCCAGCTGTAGAGCTAAATATCGAGCTAATAACTGTAGAGCTCCTTTTATAACACGGCTACCAAGAGAATAACTGCAGGGTGGCCGGTAGCGATGAATTTCAGTGCGGTGTTTCTAGTTTCACTGCAGCACTGTCTCCATAGGGACCATCCAAAAGTGTGCAGTGGAGTCTAGGAAAAGCACATTTAAGGACTGTTATAGGACATTTCACACCCTTTTTAGGAGAAGGATGGAAAGCTCTACTATTCACAACACAACCACTACATATATGTCGATTAAAAAACCCAGCATTTCACAAAGATCGGTATTTAGATTCAGCACTACTACCATCTGAACTTATCTAAACCTGACAGGAAATTTAAGAGAGACACCAGAATATAATCCTAACAGAGCTGCCCCTTTCTTTCAGCTGAATGAGAGACCAAGCAAACAAGAGAGCCACATGAGGTGTCCTACAGATTCCTTCTCTGAGAGCATGAGGGAAGTCCACATAAAACGTTTTGTCCACAGATATAATTAATGCTGCTGGTAAACACATCTGAGGACTTTGCTGACAACTTTGTCTCATCACCTTACCCAGGAAATCTGTACTAGATAAGCACATCTTTTTCAAACTGCAAAAATAAACATGGGGGAGTTATTCACAGCACATGACATTTAATATTTCCTCACGAAGAAATCTCTTATGTACAACAACGAAAGCCACTGCACTTATTTCTCAGCAACTGGAAGCAGCATTTGAATAGCATGAAAATCCTTTGTGAGAGCTAGAGGTCTACTCCCCAGTACCTGGGTTTCCAGTCACTCAAAGCCAGTTCTGCTGCAGTATTGCACTTGTGCGACTTGAGTCAGCTGCATACCCCAGTTTTATCCAGTGGAAGAAATACAGGAGAGTGATAGGAAAGCTTGGAAGAGGGCTGGCTGGTGCCAGCTGGGAGGAAAAGGTACTTGCAATGGAGCCTGTATAGATCCCAGCTCCCACTCCATATTGCAGCACCTTCCTGACTCCCAGCTGTGAAAGCAAGGCTGAGCAGCAGATAGTACAAGCAGTCAAGCTATCATTGCTTACAAATCACTGCATAAGGCAAATGCTGGTGCTATTTCTATTAGCATTAATAGTACTTTTCTACTTCATTTTGTCCCATTTAATAATCCTAATAAAGATTAGCCAGAATTTATTCATACAAGACTGAAGGGAAAATACTTGTTGTCATAGCCATTCTTGGAAAATAACTACATGGTAAAATCTGTGTTCTCACAGCATAAAATAATGGTGACAAAACAGCACAGTATTGCAACCTGTACATATAACATTCTCAAGTGAAAGGTCTGCTTTAAGCAGAGACTCTTGCAGAAGCAATGTGTGGTATTTGGACTTCAGTAAGTGAGCCATGTGCCCAGATACTCCTGCAAGCAAACAGCCACCCAAATTACTCCGTGCAGCAGCACACGTTGGGAGACAACTGGCTCAAAAGCAGCTTTTCAGAAGCAGACCTGTAGTCCAAATTGGCAAGCTGAGCACAAGTCAGCAGTACCTGCCCTTTCCGCAAAGGCCAGCTGCATCCTTGGCTGTATTAGCGAGAACACAGTCAGCAGGCCAAGGGAAGTGATTCTTCCCCTAATGGACACTTGCGAGATCACATCTGGAGCGCTCTGTCCAGCACTGAGCTCCCTCATATAAAAATTACTTCAAAATGCTTTAGTTGGTCCAACAAAGAGCTACCACCATACTCCGGGTATTGGGGTAGTTGATGTGTGTGGAGAGGCTGAGGGAACTGGGTTCATTCTGCCTCATGGAGAGACAACTCAAGGGAAATCTTACTGATCTTTTTAATCACTTAATGGAAGAACATAGAAAAGACAGGGTCAAATTTGTCTCAGTTGTGCAGAAGGATGAAAGACAACAGAAGCAGCTTAATACAAAAAATTCTCGTTCCATAAAAAAAAAATGTTTTATCTTGACAAATGGTCAAATTAGTAGGAAGGGCCCAGAGAGACTGAAATCTCCACTGTTAGGAATACTAAAAACTTAATTAGGCAGAGTCCTGAGCTACCTGAACTAACTGGACCTTACCTGAGCTAATGGATGGATTACACAGCCTCAGGAGGTCCCTTCCAAATTATTTGGTTCTTTGATCTTATTCTGAATACATTTAACTACCACCACCAAGTTTATGCCTGTATCAGTGCTAAATCAGCCTAAGCACAGAGGGCTGCTATTGACTGCAGTTCTGAAGTCAGAGCCAAGAACTTAACAGCCCTCTCCCAACATTGACAATTCCCCTGCCTAGTCACTCCTGATCCATCAGAAGAGAATGTCTTACAAGCAAGTTAGACACATGCTCAATGTTCCTGTGGGTAATTCCCATCAAATAGCCAGTGTCTGAGGGCAGGAGTCAAACACAATCATTGTGAGTGAACTTTTTCCCTACAGCTGAAGATGCGCAAAGCACTGAACACACACATTTGTGCTGGGGGACAGGGTTAGTTGATTGTTCACTCAGTACAGGACATATTAATAGGGCTCATTTACACTTTCTTGACCACTTAGACGAAATCTCATTGCTCTACTCAGTAAAAAGGAGAAGGCAAAGAGCAGATTAGAGATCTAAACAGTAATTTAAGACAATCACTGAAGACTTATCAAAATAGAGCAGAGCAAATTCAAAGAGATATTACTCCTGCTTGTACCACTGGTTCTAATATAGGGTGCATTCAACTATGTCATCTGCCTGTTTCCTCCAGTCATCTGCTGCTGACCCTTGTCACAGATGGGATTCTGTACTTTATCCACCTTTGTATCCTTCCTGTTCTTGGGAAAATGTCAGCTATTTCTGTTTCATGTGTTGTCATGGGGCTTTTCTTCCTCCTGTGGCTGCTCTGGACAGACATTCAAATTTGCAGATCACCATGCACTAAAATATCTCTGGGGTTCACTGTGAAATCAAAGTTCATTCCTGGCCATGCCGTGTCTCACAAGCACAACTCCCAAGGTCAACACACTTTCTAAGACTGTATTTTCCAAATTGCTGACTCCTCAACAGTTTATCAGTTGGCCATGTGGTTTAGCAGTCTCATGAAAGGCTTCAGCAGCTTCAGCTAATATTTGCACTACACAGCTTGACTATGTATCCCCCAAGTTACAGCACAGTAGCTTCTGTCAGGCCACACAAAAGGCTTCTCACCAAGCATGGTCTTTCCATACTGTCCTACCTGTTAGGATGCTCTTACACCATAGCTGTGATCAAAAAGCACCTGAAAATTACCAGAGAGTACGGAGGGGGAAAAGAGGTATAGGTTCTTTTCACCATGAATGAGGAGAAAAAGCCCTGAGTAGGCTGCAGGTTTCCCAGTATTTCCTTATCCTTTCAGACACGGTCTGGAACACCACGGAGCAGTGAACCACTTGTTATTTGTTAGCTCATGACCCTTGTGCTGTACAGTTTTGAAGGTTCCACCAACTGCACTGTGATATTTACATCTTCTGTGTCCCTTAAATAGTGATAGTGTACCCATCAGCTTCTGCACAGCAACACACAACCTAACCTTAAGATCCAACTCAAAGTCAACAGGGATCCTTGGTTTATGTTACATGAAACAATAGAGCAAACCCTGATTTTTCTGGTATGTGAATCCCCATATATAGTCAGTGATATTTAATTGAATTGATGATCTAGTTATTCAAGGATGGCAATGCAACTGCATAAAATAACATTTACTTAAAACATATTTGGGATATGTTTGAATTTTTGCATGATTTGCAAGATTTAATGTTTAACTTAGTTAATACTTATTAATTTTTCCTTATTAATATTTAGTTACTAATTAATTTAGTTAGAAATTAATAATAATTATTAATATTTAGTTAATACTAAATAGATATACAAAAATCAGAACTTGTCAGCACATATAAGTAATCAAATCTTCCATTCCTCTTGTTAGTATTAATCTAAATTCATTATTTACTTCCTAATTCATTCATATAACTAAATCCTCTGCAGTAGCTAGGATTTTCAAAGATCCAAGATTTGTACAAAAATCCACCCTTGGAATTAAACTTTCACATATTCAAGATGCAAAAATATCACCTGGATAGAAGCAAAACTCAGAATCTTCAAACTAGCGCAGATATTTTCCTTGAATGAATGGAGTCACCCATCACTTTAATGGGAAAATGTCACCCTTTTCTGAACAATCCCTAGAAGACACACCCAGCACATCAAGCAGTTACCATCACCACCACACTGCAAAGCCAGTTTTGCAAGTCTCAGACATATCTGTTTAAAACCCAGACCAGCCATCAGCACATATCAGAGGCTGAGTGCAGGAGCAGAAACAAAAGCACAGCAAACGAGTAGTTAAGCCAAGCTCCTGGCTCTTCTCATCCCTGAAGAAACCCCAGAGCTTGCTGAGTCTCAGGTCCCCTGGAGAGGTAACAACACTAAGATCTTCCCATACAATATACAGCTATACTGCCTCTTCAGGAAAGCCAGATGGCAATTTTAACTTCAGTTTTTATGTGCAATGTTGCTGATCCTGTCAGAAAACTTGGCATTTTGATCTATATATGAGGAAACCATTGCACAGACATTTTAAAGTGTTTACTCAGAGCCACTGAGAAAATCAGTAACAGAGAAAGAATTTGAGTTCAGGAGCTCCTGTCTCTCCATGCTGGGCTCTTCCAGAGGTTCTCATACATTTGTGGAGGGAAACCAACCTCCTGTTTTTCTCTAGTCTGTCCAGCATGTCATCCCAGCTAAGGTGTGGAGAAAGCAGGCTCCAAAGTTTTGGATAATGCTTGAAAATAAATACTTCATGACTGCAAAGCTGAAAACAACAAACCATAGAATCATTCATTTTGTTCAGGGGCATGAAGCTTAATACTCAACAAAAGCAGCATCTCATGGAATTT